TACAAAATCTTTAGGATTTAAGAGCATAGGTGCTGAACGTCAATTATTACACTTTCCAAGAGCTTCTGTTTCTCAACAGAAAGGTGAAAATGACAGTATTTATAAAGTGCTGAGAGATCCTTGGAGAGGACGGTATATAGTGATAAAATCATGTTTAACAGATGAACCCGGCATAGTGACCCAAAGGTCAAAAGATACACTCAATAAAAGTTCATGTGTGACAGCTCGTAGCTACTCTACATGTCTGTGTAAGATTTATAAGGACTTGAGTTTGCTGTGACGGTAGAAGGAAAATGGACTCACCATTAACCTGCCTCCTGACTGATGTTCTCATTAGGAGAAACCAGGAAAAACCAGGAATTAGAAGATCATAGTATTTCATCATATGCAGCCATCACCAAATCAAATGACTCAGAGATACTATATTTTAAAGCTGCATAAAGATTGTAAATTGTGTTTTCTTTTGTTTTTTGTGTTTTTCTTTTCTCTTTTCATTAATCACTTGAAAAGTAAGAAATATTACAAACATATAAAAAGCTATAAAGAGTGAGAAAACAGGCAGCCTCTGCACTCACCACCCAGACTGAACGCATGTGGTCAAGCTTGTTTACACTTAATTTCTTTGCTACTTTCATCTGCATCTTTGTGCAGAGGATGGTAAGGCTTTTGGCAATCTGACCACAAAGAAGCTGTGATAAATAGAGTGGAGACACACAGAAGTGATGGGTGACTAAAAGCTGCTGATTCTGACATCTCAATAATAAATCTATGGTGTTAGTGAAATGGTTGTGTTCTTTAGAACTTCACAAAAATAAGCACGGAGGTGACAATTTAGTACAAAAGTGGTTACTTCCCTTTCAACCCTCTTCTGGGCTTAAAGTTCTCAAGGGGGATTTTGTGGATTTGCAAACAAATCCAGGGAGTGAGAGCTGGCCCACAAAGTCAGTCAACTGACACTTCCCTGCAGGAGAAATACAGCTCCCTGTGAAGTGAACTTTGCCATCCCGGGTCATGCTTCTGGACGTCTGTAAGAGTTGCTGTCCAGTCATTAAATGCTTATAATCCATTCCCGAGAGCGATTACTCCAGAAACCAAGCTTGTTTCCCCATTGACAGCAGGTGGCTTTCATCTTTGACCTGGATTTTTTTGTTTGTTGTTAATCTTTTTATTCTTGAGAAGGAAGGAAGGAAGGTTGCTAGACGGGTAAGCAAGAGCATTTAAGCACTCATTTGTTCAAAGGATTGCAATTTCCATTTGTCAGGTTAAAGAAAGGTATGCAGGTACAGTATAAATCCCTTTCTGTTCAACAAATCTGGAGCTCATAGAATTAGAATTTTTTCATGGTTTGTCTTAAATATGGGTGATAATTGCACATAGAAGGAGAGACAGTGTTTGAAAGTGAGTCATTTCTTGTCACTTTTACCTAATAGAATGTTTAAAAGAGAATGTGGTTGCTCATTCTTGTGAAGTAGTGATGCACATGATTGTTAAAGGAATGTTAGCAGCAAATATTTGATGAATCTGTTTAGTTAGCAAAATAACTTGAGCATTTGCTCTGTGCTGGGGTAAAGCAGTAAACCAAACCTAGTCCCTGGCATTATATTTATGATAGCTGATGTCTCTCTTTATGTATATTGAATTAATGCTATTTTTAGTTATTTATTGCTGACTCTCAAAATATACAAGTATAGGCAATGCAAATTTTATAAATATTAACATAAATCTGTAAGAAGAATGCATTAAAATAGAAAGGCTCTAACTAGAGTTCTGTTTAGTACAACTGGGCTCTGCTAAAATAAAACCATATAAAGGCTAAGTATGTAAATTAAAAAATAGCTAAATCAAGGGTCACGAGAAAGGTGAGGAGATAACTTATATTTTTAAATTCATTTTAAAAATCTCTGAATAATTCCAAATAACACATTTTCTCTCTGGAATCTTACTGTACATTAACACAGAATCCATTATTACATTAAGAGGAAGCATGAATATTGTTGCCCATTCATATTAACATCTGAATTATGTTAAGTGATCAGAGGATATTAGCAGTAGAAGTGAAAGTCATGCCTAGAAAAATCTACCTCCACATCTGCTGACGTCAGTAATCATTTAGTAGCTACCTGAAGTGTTATTTTTATTACTGAGCAACGATACTCAAATGATAGAAGCACCATATACAAAATATAAATTTAAGAGCAGTTCTAGACATGTTTGCTTCTGCAGGGTTATTATATGAAATATGTATTCATTTTCTTTCAATTCTTTGCTAATTACTAAATCTTTTAGAAATTCTTCATTGTGTACTAAATTACACATAGACGCTTTGGCCTGGTATCAAAGCCTTTCTTGATCTTACCCCAACTTACTTTTGGAACATTTTCCTCTATTTCAATTTATCCCAGTCTTCTAAACCAAATTTGCCCTAGTTCTCCATACATGTTCTGAATCGTCTCACCTGTTTTTCTTTCTCCCTGGTTTCTAGCACCTAGAATATTTCCTGAACCAATGCATGTCTGAACCCACCTGTAATTTTAAGACAGTATTAAAGCTAACTCTTCAGGGAGATCTGTCCCCATTTTCCCAACGAAGAAATTTCAGGGAAGACTCAAATTCTTTGGCATTTATCTATACCTTAATCTATACTTTTCTAAGGATTTTTGCCAGTTTTACCTTATATTTTTAATTATTCACTAATCATTAAACATGTTTTTAAGAATACCTGACAAGCAGGATGTTAGTGTAAGCATATCTGGAGTAGATATTCGGTAAAAGAATTAAGAGAATGCATTTTCTTGTAAGAAGTGAGAACTATTGGAAAACCAACAAGATGTTATTTTGCTTTTTATTATCACCATGTGTTAGCAATTCTAAACAGTACCAGTGACAGAATACTACTGCCAGAAAAGTCTTTTGTTTGTCCCAAGTTCTAAACGATTGCCATGGTTACCATTGTGTTTCCATTATGTATATTTATATGTAAACGTGTTTGTATAGTCAGTCCCCAAGACACATGAACTCAGCTACATACATGTTTCAAGAGTAAGTTCACAGTGACTTGGAGTCATTTAAAATTTCCAACAGTGAGACATAGTGCAAAGTGTGAGGTGTGATTCTTTGTTAAGTGCATATTTTAAGTTCATACTAATTATTGAACTTGAATGTTTTTCAATTTTAAAATCATTCTTCTTTTAAAATTACTTGTTATAAACCTAAAGAACAACTCAAGGAAAGAATAGTTACTACTCATTTATACAGAGCTACTACTGAACATACTTCCGTTGTTTAGCAGAGAGGGATGTAAAGCCTGATTCATTCTGGATGTGCGGTGCACCCCTGGTGTTAGGTGCTTAGGCTGTAAAGACAGCTGCGGTCTCTGGCCTCAGGGACCTGGCCTGCCCTCTTAGCCCTCCCACAGATCTGAGAGCCCTCTGCTCTGTTAGCATCATTACATCATCTGAGAATTTGGATTTCCATTTTACCCCCATTAATACTCAAAGGGAACTCTCTCCCTTCCTTTCCCCCATCCCCTCTCCCCCTGCCACTTCTTTCTTCAAGAATAGCAACTATTTATATATGACTTTGAATTTCCTTGTTTGGAGTGGTCATTTAGCTGCTTTTCTCTGATTTAATTTTCAGAGATAAAAGAATCACCGGGAAGATAGTCCCTACATAGTCAGACCTCAAATTTGACAGTGAACTATGTATGAACTTTATGGAACGTAGACTGCATGAAAGACAAAACTTTTTTATAGAATTTATATTTAAATGGAAATACATTAATGGGCATAATGGCTTCATAAGTAATTTTTCAAAGTCAAAAGTACTTAATGTATTTATACCATGAAACAGTCTTATTATTTATTATAAGCATAGCAGATCTAGTTAGTCAAACAAAAAAAATCATATTAAGTTAGTGTTCACAGAGACATGTTAAATTACAAATAGGACAACATCTTTTTATGGTGAATTATTAGCCTAACCCTGTTTGTTCTAATTGATTTAAATGCTTATGTTTTGCTAAATGTGTAAACATTTTTTTCATTTTTTACTGAGGTATAATTGGCATACAACATTATATTAGCTTCAGGTGTACAACATAATTATTTTATATTTTTATATGTTGCAGAAGAATCACCACAGGTCTAGCTAACATCCATCACCATACATAGTTACAAGTTTGTATATTCCTTTAGCAACTTTTAAATATGCAATACAGTATTATTAAGTGTGATCACCATGCTCTGCATTACATTCCCATGACTTTATTTTTTAACTGAAAGTTTGTACCTTTTGACTCCTTTCACCTATTTCACATCCCACTAAAGAACATTTTTAATTAAATATTTCAGAATAAAATAGAGTGAAAAAACATCAATTAGTGTTTAAAACAAGATTGCTTTTATCTGTATGTTCATGTTGCCTTGGTTTTTAATTAGTCAGGTTCTAAATTTGGAAAGGACTATTTTTAGCTCTATACCAAGGCATATTTCTAAAGGATGCAAATATTGATCTAAATCATAGGCAAAAATATATAAGTTATTGCTAACATTTTTTCAACGTAAGTTGCCTGGCCTTTGCTGAGCACTTTTTTCCACTTAATCATCAAAATAACCGTATTTCAAGGCATTACTCATATTTTATGAATGGCAAAACAGAGACTTGGAGAATTAAATGGCCTTTTGTAGGTCATGGAGCAAAAATTGGCAGAGAAGGGAGTAGATTCCAAGGCTGCCTTATTTACTGCCGGCTTACACACATCTGCTCGTTCAGCAAAGCTATGGTGTTTACATTGCACACGAAACTGTGAGAAAAGCATTTAATGTTGAGGGACAAAAATGCCTTTTCCCTTCTTTGAGAGTTCAAGGACTTAAATGTGTAAGCTCTCTGTCTTTGTAAACTAGGACATTAATAAGACACTGCCTATGATAACCACCAGTTTTAGTTGGTGATAGAATCATGTTGGTAAATCTGTATCTTTTCTTTTTTTCTTTCCCCCCCAGAATGATATAGGAGGACAACGCAGCCTGATAAACAAATGGACCACTTTTCTCAAGGCCAGATTGATTTGCTCAATTCCTGGAAGTGATGGGGCAGACACTCATTTTGATGAGCTTCGTAAGTCATGTTTCTTTCTTCTTAAAAAAAAGGTCTTACTGCCTAATTGAGTAATTCAGCATTTATTTTAGACCCAAATGCCTGATTATAAAGCCCAGGACAGTTTGCAGGAGTGGTGCTCGCTAAGTTCGTACACGCAAAGAGCAAGGAGTGCTTTATGTCTGGGTGCACGTTGTAATGAAACGGTGCCTCTCTTTGTAAGCATCCTCAAAGTTAAGAGGGAAACAAAACTGCAGTAGGAGACAGAAAGGTACTAGCTCTGGGACTACAAAGTCCGTCCACCCTACACGCACTTATTTAAGAAGCCACTGGCTATCGGTAGCAAGAACTTGGGTTCCTTATTCTGTGGATGCCCTCTGCTGGAGAGCCCTGGCGAGCCGGTGAACTCTGTCCCTACAGCTTGTTAGTAAAAAGGGCGCTCAGAGAATCATTAGAGCCTTCTCTTCCATTTACCCTCTTTACTTCTCGCAAAGTTAATTCTAGGAGGAATTTTTCTGTTGTATATTAGGTTAGTATCATTAGCTTTTACCTTTTGAACTTTATTTTTTTGGTTCTGTCATGCAGTGTAAAAATGATTATATCATTAAATTAACATTGTCAGGTTTACAGTATTGAAAGTATGTATTCAATAGTCATGGATGGTCTCTCATGTTGTATATAAGCATGTTCACCTCTTAAATCATATTTTAAGGAATATTATTCACACATACATTAGTATCAGTGCTGCATAAGTGACTACACAGGGGATACTGCTCAAGGAATTAACTAGTCTAGCTATTTTCATATTGTTCCCAAATAGGCAATTAAATTACTGACAAGTTGACATAATTATAAGACAACATTTTTTACACTGAAGGGTAAAAATAACTTATGTTTTTAGTTTCTACTGTATGAAATCACATACTCCTAATTGGAAACAGTCATGGAGATTATCAAGTGAACCAATCCATTTACAGGTGATTGAAGTAAACACCTTAAAGGTTAAGTGTTCAACTCTGTGTCACATAGCTAGTGAGAACCAGTCTTTTACCCTGAATTTCTTATGTCATAGTATAATGACTTCCACTGTTACCCTAATTTTATATAGTGTTTAGAGTCCCAGGAGTATTGCATTATTAAAGAAAATGCATACATGGAATATTGAAAAATACTAACATAGTGAATCACTATTTTTTCCCCCATTAATAGAGGACATTTACTTACTCCCCACAAGAGATGAAAGAAATCCTGTGGTCTATGGAGTCTTTACCACAACCAGGTAAGTTAAAAAATATGCTTGCAGTCCTTTTAGAGAATTGTTGTA